TCGGGCGCGGGGGGACGCCCCGCCGCCGCGGCGGGGCACCTGTTTTAGCGCCCTCAACCTTCATTTAGTGCGTTCAGCAGACGCTTATTGAACCGGGGCAGGTGGCCGTGTAGACTGTAAAGGTGTTTGTGTAGGCAGCTAACGGTGCTCTGCAAACACGGATGCATCGGGCCCGGGAGGGAAGGGAGTCGTAGGAACCTGAAAAAGCTGGCGAATTGCGTGGTGGCGTCTGAAGGACTTTTACAACGGCCTGAACGGAGAGTCCACAAAGCCCAATGTGTGAGGTTCTGTTGTTACTATTATTGATTTTTAAAGCTAGGACTGCAGTAAGGTCTTCAACCGTGCACGGAGAAGAGTTCTAAGAAGGACGGGAGTGAAAAGAAACACTTGTGCCAAAATGGAGGAGCGCGCCCAGATGATCCTAATGAGCGTGAATGAGGACTTTGTTACCATCCCCTAGTGTTAAAGTATTTCTGGACACGAATCAGAACAGGGGGAGGGAAGAAAATTCCTGCCTTTATCCAGTGCTTAATGTGTGCCAAGCTCTGGTTCTGTCCTGGGAGCTCAGAAGATCACGAAGCAAATGAGGAAAAGGTTTTTTGTTTTGTTTTTGTTTTATGTTTGTTTTGCTGAGCTTTAATGCAGTATTTGTTTGGAAGAAAAATGTAAATTGTTGTGCAAGCCAGAATGGCGTGTAGCCAAAGGGATGAAACGGGATTGCAAGGGACTGGAGAATTTAGGTTTGACCAATTGCACTAAACCACAGAACAGCGACTTTTCAGAGCAGGAAGGGGTCACAGGCATGATCAGGCTCTCCTTTAAGTAGGAGGAAACAGCTCTTGAACCCCACCCCGATATTGATACAAAAGCAAAAAAACACTGCCGTTTATTTTAATTGCTTACAATGTGTGCGAACCTTAGCCACTGGCTCTACCAATTAGCTATTCAAACTTGAAACAGAAATTGCAGGTTTGTGAAATCTCTGGAAAAAGCAGTTTCACATGTTCTTGTGGGAGGGGAAAAGAAACTGCTGACTTGTTATTTTAGAGAATTCTTGTTGGTAGAGTCAGTCACAACCCTTGGGATTAAGGTCTAGAAAAACATCATTTCATATTTTGCCTGGGATAGAGAATAACAGTGAAATAAAGGAGGTTGGGTTTTTCCTATGTTGGGGAAAAAAATTTCTTGCTTCTTGAACTGTTTTTTCTTGATCTGTTTATTAACCATACTTATCAAATACTAGTAGTATTATATGATTTGTATAGAAGAAAAGCCAATGATTTAAAATCAGTTCATAACCCAGGAGACAGAGCACTTCAATTTTGGTTTTGCAAGATCACTGAGATTCTCAAACACTGTTAAGGAGAGTTGCAAAATAACTGATAGAAGTTAATGTCAGTAAACTCAACTAGAGGTTTGCCCAATTGAGGACATGCCCATAGTTCTTGGTGTGTTAGGCAAGGGACACGGTCTCTGTAATTCTGTAGGTTGGTGAAGTTCATTTTTCTGGAGGGAAGCCTGCAACTTTGATTAGATTCTTAAAAGGGCCAGTGACCCCCTAAAAAGAGTTAAGAACTACTGGTGCAGGGGTGGTCACTAGTTCAAACCGTACTTAAGAAGTGGATCACTAAAAGGAAAATTGGATACACAGTACTTTTAAAAAGATGTGTGGCAACCATTTGCAATAACACTGACTTTCCCCTGTATTCATAGGCCGAGTGATAGCTACTTTCACATGTTCAGGAGAAAAGGAAGTAAATTTGGCTGTTCAGGATGCAAAGGCTGCCTTTAAAATATGGAGTAAAAAATCTGGCATGGAGCGTGGCCGAATCCTTTTGGAGGCTGCCAGGATAATAAGGGTATGTTTTAATGTACTGTCTTCCAGAGAAGTCCTCTTGCATTGTTCTGCAAGTTCTTTCTGATGATTTGCAGTTAGACTTGGATGTGCTACTAGGTTCTACCTTTATAACGAAATTGAGAAACATTTCCATATGCTCACCTTGGCATGTACGGCAAGCTTTCACTCAGTAATTCCCTTCTGGCTCTTCTTGTAACATCTCCCTTGAAAGGTTTTCTTTTTCCTCTTTGTTGGAGCGGTAAGGTATTCTTTAGAGCCTGTCTCTTTTCCATTTTAACCCTGTGGAATTGTTCCTTTTTACTTTTTCCTCTGATGACTCTTAAATTCGTGTTTCTTTTTTGTTTCTAGTTTTTTTGTTTGTTTTTTTAAAGTTGACTTTTCTTTTTTCTGGTTTATTTTCTACTATAATTGCCTGGGAAGATTTCATAGATTCATAGATGCTCCCCTCTCAGAATGCAAAGTTCAGCTTTTTTACAGTCTTAAAAAGCAAAATTACTAGATGCTCATTACAGAAAATTAGAAAATTCAGAGACTATACCCCAAAATTTGAATCAAGGATATCTCTCAGTGATAGCACTGTGGTGGTTTTTTTCCTCAATGTGTTACATCGGAAACAGGGTGGGAGAGTTCCTCTACTTGCAAGGTTGTATGTGTATCCTGACAAGCGACATGAGGCTTTCTGGATTAGGGAAAGAGACAGTTTATTACAGCGAAATGCAGCATCCAGAGCAATACATTAGCACTAGTTTTCTGAGCCCCAGTCCCCTTGGGGTGATGCTGTGAGAGCCAGATGTTACCCTGTTGCACGCAGTGGGCTGCACCACAGGAGAGGAGCCCTAAAATTGGGCTGGTGGCACATCTGCCCATCCTCTCCTCTGGAGAGAGACAGGTTACTCATTAAACAGATCTCCAGGGTTAAGGGGACACCTTCCAGTGTCCCCAGATTTATTACCTTGGTATGTAAGCAGATGTCTCCAGGAACCGGAAGTAGAGAACTTTGTATCTCCACATCTCTCCAGAGACCTCTGTCTTTAGGGAGACGCTGTCTCTGCCTTCCAAGGCCTTTGCTTTTCAGTCAGCTTGCTAGTGTCCTTTGCTCAGAAAGCCTGATGCAGTAATGTCAGAACACTCAGGGAGAGTTTTCTCCCAACACAGTATTTTCTGCTATTAAAATTTATTTTTAATTTGATAAACCAAAAGTGGTAACTCAAAGCTGATAATTTATTATTCTAATTTGTTTCTCACTTTTTCCTTATGCATAAGCATTGAGGGTTCTTATGTCTTCCTAAGAATTGGCTCATTTAGGGGGTGGGTATAGCTCAGTGGTAGGGTGCATGCTTAGCATGCACAAAGTCCTGGGTTCAATCCCCAGTACCTCCATTAAAAAAAAAAGACTAAAAAAAAAAAGACAAAAAACTAATAATAAGTAAATAAAAATTTTAAAAAGAAGCAAAAAAAGAATTGGCTCATTTATCATTATAAAATGACTTTTTTTCCTTTATCCTTAACATGTTCATGTTTTCTTCTGCCTTCTGGAACACGTGACTGTAGTTCGGATAACATTCAACATCCTTGTCCCCTAATTCTGTCATCTGTCATTTCTGATCTGTTCCTGTTGACTGATTTTTCCTCCTGGTTGGGTGTTTATATAACGTTCCTTTGTTTTGTATGCCTGATAATTTGTTATCACCAGATATTGCGAATTTTATGTTGTTGGATGCTGAATATTCTTGTACTTAAAAAAATACTGAAGAGCTTTGTTCTGGGACACAGTGAAGTTACTTGGAATCAGTTTAACCTGTGCAAGGCTTGCTTTTATCCTTTGTTAGGTGTGGCCAGAGCAGCTCATTTTGCCCCACTGCCGAGTACCCTTCTGAACACCTGGCCTGATGCTCTGTGTGTGAGTGAGATTTTACTCCCCCCGGCTGGTAGGAACATGAACCACTTCTGGCCCTGTGTGCGTTATGGGGATTTTTTCACCTTCTCAGTTTTTACCCCAGCCTTGGGTGGTTTCCTCACTCTCATCAGTTCTCAGGTGAAGACTTAGGGGGACTCTGCAGACTTCTGGGGTCCTCCTTCTGTGCAGCTCTTTTCTCTGCCGTCCTCAGACTGCAGACTGTAGGCATCACAGACTCCCCGAACTCCCAACCTGTCTCCTCAACGCAGAGTATCTGTCCCCAGGCCCCTCCTCCCGGCGCTGTGATGGAGCGCTCTCCCCAGGCAGCGGGCAGGAGCAGGTGCAGGACTCACCTCATTTGTTTCTCTCTCTCGGGGTCACTGTCGTGAGCTGCCTGATGCCCAGTGTCTGAAAGTTGTTGTACGTGTATCTTAATTGGTATTTTTAGTTGCTTACGACGGAGTCTAAGTCTGGTTCCTGTTACTCCGCCTGAGCCAGAAGCCTCCCGACTCCTAGTGAAATGAACGTGTTTTGGTATGTTTGTGAGTCTTACGTTCCCCCTTTCACAGTGAATCTTTGGTGCTTTTTACCAGATCATAAATCTTATTGGTAGGCTCTAGTCATTTCTCAGTTGGAGTCTCCTAATGAAAGTAGCTGTTACTTGGCTTAAAAGAAGAGAGAAAATGTTATTTGAAACTATGGTAACACCATTTACGCGCAGGAACGATCGTGTGTGTGGATTATGCACTTTCCTCCAGTCCTGCCCGGGTGAGGTGGTCATCCTCGTGCCCCCTGAGGGTCTGCCTGGAAGTGCACCTCTGATCCTGGCCCTCCCCTTCCATTACACGGCCCGTCAGGCCCTTCAGGACCAACCCTCGTCTCCACCTCATCTCCTCCCCTCTTCGCACCCCATGAGCCCCAGCCGTGCACTGCTGGCCCTTCTTCCTCTGCCACGTGCGTGCTCACGTCCCCTGCCCTCGTACGCGCCAGGATGCTGTGTTCCTGTGATGGCTTCTCCACGTTGGCCGCCCTGGAAGACTTCTCCGCACCTTCCTAGGCTGAGTTTGGGGCTTTGTCTGTCTTCTGCCCCTTGGACTTAACATCTGTAGTGTTTGGTCAGCTGCATTGTTACGACTGGTTTATTGCTTTCTTTCCCCCGAGACTCTTCAGGTCCCTGAGCAAATGGCCTCCCTCTCTCTCTTGCTTCCTCCTTCCCTCTCTCCCTTTCTTCCTTTTTGAAATCTCTATTATGTTGGGTGTGGGCCTTAGACTATAACTGATGACCTTTCACCTTTGTTGAAATTTAGCATTTCTCCTGTGAAACAGTTCTTTCTTCTCTTCCCCTCCTGTGGACACTTCCCCCCCACCCGAGGGAGAAAGGGAAAAATGTTTGGATATAAGGAGAATGTATAGCACACACCAGGATGGTGGGGGGACCAGAGTGACGGATCCCCAAACTGGCTGAGAAGTATTAAAGGTGAAACGAAAGCTTGGCTCTGGCTTTATTCTGTTAGGTACTAAATAAACATGGGTTACCTTTTAAAATAAATTTTTCTGATGTGCAAGGTGCTTTTCATACATAATTGTATTTAATTATCGAAAACATCCTGGAATGTTGTGGTTATTTACTTAGTTGACAGATGAGGAAGCAAACATGGAAAGACCGGCTCAAGGTGGTATCACTAGGCAGTGTGAGAGCTGGTCTGTTAGGCTGCAAAGCCTGCGACGACGGTTTTGCTCAGCTCCGCCCCTTGAAGCAAGGGGAGGGGGCAGTTTAGTGGGGGGGGACTTTGCTCGTGTGGCTCTCTTATAAAAGCTGGACGCAGGGCCTGCTGAGGGTGTTGTCTGTGAAGGAGAAAGGTGGGGCTCCTGCCCTTTGCCTCTGCCTTCTTCCCAGTGGTCCCCTGGTCAGGTCTCGGGTGAAGCAGGGTGGTGGAGGGGAGGATGGGGTGGATACAAAGCACGTGTTTCCCAAGAAATACTTGCTCGTTGTCGTGGTGGGCAGTTCTGTTTTATGATGGCTCTTGTAGTAGAAGGGGCAGGAAACTTGCATTGTTTTCACCTTCTCTCTGCCCTTCTTATTGCACGAGGGTCAAACATCCCACTTCCTTGTAAGCAGTATCAGCTATCGGTAGATATCCACTTGGACTCCTTGGTAGTTTTCATCAAGGATTGTTTTTCTGATGATCTCTGAAAGGTGTGTCAAAAGATCTCATCATGGCCTTTTAGAAATAACCTTTTCTGTGAGAGTAGAAAACGCTGGAATAAGACAGGAAAAATCTAAAAGGCCAGCCAGTAAACTGAATTTTCTCTTTGAGGTGAAACTTTCAAACAGTCCTTAAAGCGAATTGTTTGTTCATTGTTTACTAAAAAAAAAAAAAAAAAAAGGAAAGAAAGAAAAAAATCTTACGAGACTAAAACTTCCTTTCTCAGTAATATTCTAAGGCTTTTCAGCCATAGTCATAGGTTACTTCCTGTCTGTTCACTCTTGTGTTAACGTGGAAGCCAGCAGCATTTCACTTTGCCAGTTTAATGTTTCTTCATGGTTTCGAAATGGTAATGTACTGATTCATCAGTGCATTCATGCTGATTAGTGAACCACTACCTACTTCCTCTTTAGGGCCTGGTTGCCCTCTTACATTCTACAAATGAAGTTGAAGTCACTTACAGTTAACCATGCCTTTTAAAGCATGTTTCACGTTAATCATGTGCAGCAGATCCAAGACTGGGGGATAATTTATACCTGGTTTCAGAACTGATGCTTGCTGTCCTCCTGGGTACCCTCTTTCCAGTATTAGTAACTGGAAAACGAGTTAATTGTTAAAAAGTTGTTTTGGTGAGTATAGAATCAGGGGAAGAAAGGGTGCATTGTTGGTTTAAGAGCCAGTTTAATTCAGACCATGTTTGAATGTGAACAGATTATTTTTTGTGAAGGAATGTGTCTATTCATTAATTGCAAAATTAATTTAGAACTTACTAACTTCCTTTTTCATAAGTGAGCTCCTTGAGGGCAGAGACTGGATCTATCCTTTTTTCCTTAGTAATGAATGTGGAATCAATGAGTCAAAAGCACCTTATCCCGCTGGTCTTTGTAGAAATAGTACACGTCCAGATATCACTACCAAACTGTCCCTTCCCGTATGTCATACTGATTTCCATATTCTTCCTTCCATCTTTTCTGAGATTTGTACTGTGGGTAGATACTCGTGTTAATTTCTGTTGCCTTTCTTTTTTGCTTCTGGTCAGCCTTTCTGATTATCAGTTTTAGTAAGAATCCTTCTTTACCTCAGTTGTTTGATTTGTCTTTTATGTATGTTCAGATTTTGACCCTATCGTTTATTTTAAATTGGACCCATAATAGTAAATATTTCTTTACATATTTAAGTTTTTCATCTTCTTTGGGGGGTAAAAAGAGCATTACTTAGCTTTTCTTTTTAGATCTAATTTCCTAAACCTTTTCTTTCATCCCTGGACCATCTCTAGCACCTCTAAGTTGTGTAAGCTACAACTGGAAACAGTATTTGAAAAGAGAATTGAGGGGAGGGTTTAGCTCCATGGTAGAGTGCATGCTTAGCATGCATGAGGTCCTGGGTTCAATCCCCAGGACCTCCTCTAAAAGGGAAATAAACCTAATCCCCCCACCAAAATAAAATAATTAAATAATGCAAAAATAATTAAATAAAAAAAAGAGACTTGATGAGTACTGAGTATCAGAAAATAATTATCTTACGATTTTAAGATGCTGCTTTTCTTTGGGTGAATTCAAGCCATGTGCGTGTATAACCTTTTAAATGTCCATTGTGTGTTGGCTATTTTGTATAATTTTCCTAAGGACTGTACTCTTTTACTCTATACATGCAAACACATGCATACGTATCTATACATATTTATACAGGCATACATATATAGTATTTCTTAAAACATTCCTTTTCTAACTGATCTTGAAATGAGTTATTGATCTTGAGTCTGTGACAGTTGAGGGGAAGAGTATGGCTGCTTCTTAGCAATAAGCCTTTCTCTCTCTTCCACATGTCACACTGCCATTCCTTTCATTTTCACTGAAAGTTCAAGCTGTTCCCATTTTTAAAAATTGGATAGTGAATTCTGCTCTAAGTGTCGAATATGTGGAGGTGTGTGGTAACACGTCTTAAATCTGCTCTTCTGCTTTCCCCAAAGGAGCGGAAGGATGAAATCGCCACCGTGGAGACCATCAACAATGGCAAGTCCATCTTTGAGGCCCTCTGGGACATCGACACGTCCTGGCAGTGCCTGGAGTACTATGCAGGCTTGGCTGCGTCCATGGCCGGTAAGCCCTTGCCCGGCCTTCTGTGCTCGGCTGACAAGGAGGCAGGAGAGCGGAGCCGAGAGGGGAAGGGTAAAGATTTGGGGATTGAGACAGGCTGGGGTTAAAACCCTGGGCTCATCGCTCTCTGCTTGGGTGACCCTGGGGAATGACTTCATCTTTTCTTTTTCAAAGTAGAGAAGATAATCCCTGTCTTCTTGGTTATTATAAGGATTAAACGGGATGATGTACGTAAAAGCATCTCTCCTGGTACCTAAGTTATAGACCACATTGTTGAAAAACCACTTCTTGCAAGAATCGTTGAGTGCATCATATTTACTGGTTTCGCCTATTTAGCAAGCTGTTTAGGAAGTTTACACTGCTTCACGGTGGCTGGTTTAGCAGGACCCTGGAGGGCCTTGGGGAGCCAGAAGTCTGAGGTTTCAGGGTCCTCAGACTCTTTAGCTGCCGAGTGTTTCCCCATTTCTCTTTCATTTCCTCCTCTAAGTTATCTAGTGAATGCCCAGGAAATTTTTAGAGAATTATATTAAATTGAATGAATGTGAATTTGAAGGTTAGATGGCAGTCTTTATGCAGAGAGAGTATGCAGAAGCAGTGTACCAAGGGCTAGTATGAGCAAAGGTGTGGAGGCAGGGTGAGCTGGGCTTGCTGGGAGCCGTGAGGGGGCTGGTCTGGCTGGAGGCCAGGGTGCGTCCAGGGGCTGGGCAGGTCTTAGGACAAGCGGACTGCATTCTCTTCCCCTTTGCTTCCCCCACAGGCGAGCATATCCAGCTCCCAGGCGGCTCCTTCGGTTACACGAGAAGAGAACCACTTGGGGTGTGTGTGGGGATAGGAGCCTGGAACTACCCCTTTCAGATCGCCTGCTGGAAGTCGGCTCCAGCTTTGGCTTGTGGTAAGAGTGCATCGTTCCTCCACCTGTGAGCCCCCCTCTCAGAGGACATGGTTTTGCCCCTGCGCTGCCCCTTAGGGAGCTTCTGCGTTACATAGACAAATGGTGTCTGTGTTATTCTCATTTTTATTTAATTTATTTTTGTTTCTGGAAAGGAAGAAAATTCTGGCCTTGGGGGTCTTGTTTTTTTTTTTTAACTGTCAGATGAATTAGATTTGTGTTACTTGTGAATTCTCTTCCTTTCTGGACAAGAATCCTGGGCCTGAATTTCTGTGTAGAGGCGCCCTTAGGAGCATGACTTCATTTAGGAAGCAGAAGATAAACTTCCGTCTTCATTTGTGTCTTAAGAGAAATGATAAACCAGGCTTCCATCAGAGCAGCTTTGGCTGATTGACAAAAAGTTTTCTCACACAGTTTAAATAGAAGAATCTGTGGGAGAAGAAGACATTCTATTGTAGCGAAAACTGTCCGGTTAGGAAAGCATTACTATTAGGACATTGTGTTGAAAGGTAGCTTTTTTCCTGTTGCCTCTACTTGTTCTTTCTGCCTGTTCCTGTGTGAGAGAGGAGAAACAGAACTGAAGTGTGAGCTCTGGGGACTCGCATCAACTTAACTAACCTTTCCGGTCTTCGGTTTCAACTTTTGCAAAATAGGACTCATCATAGCTTCTTCACACTGCTGTTGCAAGCGTTAAATGAGATAATACATAGGAAAGGGCCTGGCCATGCAAGTGTAAGGTATCACTGGTTGAGACTGCAAGTGTGTGCTTTGGGTTGTGTTTAATGAGAGAAAACAAAGTGGGAAGGACAAGATGTGTTTACTTACGAGTAACATTTTTGGCCCAGCATTTGAGGGGAAACAGGAAGCCGAGTTGTTGACTTGTCCTCCAGCCCCCTCCTCAGAGGGTCCTCAGTCTCAAAGTGTCTTTCTCTGTCTGTGCCTCGGTGACGCAGGTAACGCCATGATCTTTAAACCGTCTCCCTTCACGCCCGTGTCTGTATTGCTGCTGGCCGAAATCTATACTGAAGCTGGCGCGCCCCCTGGGCTCTTCAACGTGGTGCAAGGAGGGGCCACCACAGGCCAGCTTCTGTGTCAGCATCGAGACGTGGCCAAAGTCTCCTTCACTGGCAGTGTGCCCACCGGCTCAAAGGTGAAGCTAGAACCAGTGTAGGTGAACACAGATGGCATGTGGATATGGTCATGTCTGCCCTCCCCAGGCTGCATGTTGGAGGCTTGGCCTCTGATTTTACCTAACTTGTGTTGGGAGGGAGGCTGGAGGTATTTTGGAGCAACGTCTGAGGGAAGGAGGCACATGCAGGGTGATGAGAACAGCTCGCTGGTGGCAGGCCCAGTGGGGATGGGAGTCGCCTTCTCCTGCCTGTGTCTGAGGGGCAAGCCCTGGGCTGTTACTTGTGTTCTTTTGTGACTTACCTCATCTGTAGCAGCCACCTCCGAGGGAAGAGCATTTTCTCCGTTTATTTCATTTTATTTATTTATTTATTTAAACTGAAGTATAGTCAATTACAGTGTGTTAATTTCTGGTGTACAGCAGTGTCCCCGTCATACGTATACATACATATATTCGTTTTCATATTTTTTTCATTAGAAGTTTTCTCAGTTTATTTCAGATTCGTTGTTTTAACCTTAATTTGTGCTCTGAGCCTTGTCAGCCTTGAGTACAGTAACAGTGATACAGGAGAGTGTCTGCCCCCAGCAGTCAGGTGAATCGACAGTATTCTAAAATGAACTCCCCTGTTCAGCACGTCAGGTGCAGTTCTGTGGGTTCCCTTCAGTGTTCCGGAAAAACATGTTTCAAGTAGCCAAAGGACAAAATATATTGAGGAGAACAAGGTGGCCAGTCATGCATGGTTCAGAATGACTTCAGAGGTTCAGGGTCTCATTAACCTAGCACGCAATCCTACTGGCGTTCAACTTCTGAATGCTCTTGTCCTTGTTCTGTAAGATCATGGAGATGTCAGCCAAAGGAATCAAACCTGTTACCTTGGAACTTGGAGGCAAATCTCCCCTGATCATCTTCTCAGACTGTGATATGGAGAATGCCGTGAAGGGGGCGCTGATGGCCAACTTCCTCACGCAAGGCGAGGTGTGTACCTGTCCCTGGAAGAGGCTTAAAAGGAATCTCCAGCCCTTGATCTCACAGCATGTTTTTAAGCTTGCTGTTTTGAAGTAACTTCAGACTTACAGAAAAGTTGCACAAACTTTACAAAGAATTCCTATGTACCTTTGAACTAGTTTCCTCAAATGCTTACATTTTATCACATTTGTTTTACTGTTCTGTTTGTCTATACATACATACGCATATGATTACGTTTTTCCTAAACTGTTTGGAAGCTGCAGACAGGCAATCCCTAACCTCTGCGTATCCCTAAAAAAAAACCAAGTGCATTTTCTTAAATAAGCACAATGCACTTGTAACATTAATAACTGGATATTAATGTAGTGCTGCTACTCAATCTATAGCCCTTACTCAGAACTTGCCATTTGTTTGACTAATATCCTTTTAGCAAAAGAAAACAATTTTTTTTTTTTGCTGGTCCAGGGTATAATCCAGGAAGATGCATTGCATTTAGTTGTCATATCTCTTTAATCTCATTTCATCTGCAACAGTTTTAAAGGCATTCTTACCTTTCAAGACTGTGATATTTTTGAAGAGTACCAGCCATTTATTTTGTGAAATGTCCCTCATTTGGGTGTTTTTTTTTTTTAAGTTAGATTCAGGTTATATATTTTTGGCAAAAAAACACAAAAATGATGTTTTCCATGTTTTCCATCATTGCGTGTTTTCCAGTGGTGGTGCGGGCTTTGATCACTTGCTTGAGGTGGGTCTTTAAAGTTCCTGATTCTTCCTTTGTGGTTAATAAGTATCTTGTAGGAGATAACGTGAGACTGTCTCGTTCTTCATCAGACTTTGACCCACTGTTGTTAGCACCCTTTGATGTTTGCTGGAAATGTTTTTTTCTAGTGGTCACCAAATGGTGATTTTTCAGTTCTATTTTTTTCCCCTGTGTGTATTTAAGAAAGAACTTTCTCTTCTCCCTTGTTTGCTATTCTTTCGTTTACTTATATCAACATGGACCCATGGATTCTTACCTCATTCTGTGGGTTATGACCCATTACTATTATTATCTGTTTTGATGATCAAATAATTGCAGATTCTGCTGGTGGGAGCCACTATCTGGGACTTTTTGATATGTCCTCATTATTATTTGACTCTTAACACTTTTTTACTGCCTGGCACATCAAGGTGTCCCAGACACATCAAGGTGTCCCAGACACATCTTGTACTTTGCTGGCAGAGCTCTAAAGCCAGCCATTTCTCTACGGAGGCTTGGTTCCATTTAGTGGTAAATGGTATTTAGAAACCAAGATCTGGATGCCAGGTGTACCCATTTCTACTGGGGTATCATTGCTTCTGTGTCTTCTCAGAAGCCAGAACTAGGAAATACACTTTTGGCATCTGTGTATATATGTATATGCACACATCCATGTTTGTACCCATCTATATTAACGATTACAAGTTTTTATAGATATTTCCAATAGTTCCAGAACTGCGAGGTTTATTTTAGCCTCTTCCCTTCCATATTTATAATTTCCTTCTCTGACAGTGAGACATTGGGCTTCCATTATTCATAATACATGTAATTGCTCAGTCCTAGAATATGCTATAATAGTTTCAGATTTGTGAACCTATACTACTGTGAAAAATAAACCTTCTACCAAGAGTTCAGCATTTTTCACAGTTCTTTTTGTCGTTAGCCTGAGGATGTAGTTAAAATTCTGTGTTCTAAAGTTGATGGGTCATTTCTTCCTTCACTCACCCACTGTGAATCAGATGGATCTATTAATTGCCTTAAGGGAATTTAAACAGAAACAAAGATGGAACTTTTATCTCAAAGAGCAGATAGTTTGTGTGTGGGGTAGTTACATGTGTGATCCTGTCAGTGTGGTGATAGTTTTTAGAAATGAAGCTAACCTTTAAAAAAAGTATACTGTCTCTTAAATTTAAAGCTGTTATATTTCTTTTTCCTTTTCCTTTTTTCCCCCTTACCTGCATATAAATTTGTGTCTGTTGTTTAGGTGTGTTGTAATGGTACAAGGGTATTTGTGCAAAAGGACATTCTTGATAAATTTACAGAGGAAGTGGTGAAACAGACCCAAAGGATAAAAATTGGAGATCCTCTTCTGGAAGATACAAGGATGGGTCCTCTGATCAACCGGCCACATCTGGAGCGAGTCCTTGGGTTTGTTAAAGTGGCAAAGGAGCAGGTGAGAAACGGATGGAGATGAGATGATGAGGGGTAGGGTGTTTACCCCTGGGTTGCTTGCTGTGTGCCCCTTTCCTGTGGTCCTGTCCGTTTGGGAGCCGCGTTCTGCTTTGTCCCTGCAGTGGAGTGACGAGGTGTGCATTTGTTCAGGACGTAGGTAACATTTTGGGAATGCATATTGGGGTTGTACGTTTAACATAAAATACACGTTCTTTTCTTCTTTTTTGTCAGGGTGCTAAAGTGTTATGTGGTGGAGACCTGTATGTACCTGAAGATCCCAAATTAAAGGAGGGGTATTACATGAGACCCTGTGTGTTAAGTATGCATCTTCTTACTTGCTTTTAGAAAATTTGAATTAAATGTCAGATAGAAAAGAATGTTTATAAACTACGTATATGGTGTAAGGCAAGGGTTGGCAAACTCTGTCCCCACTACTCAAATTGAAGAAGTAGATGTTCTCCATTACCTTTGAAGGCTCCTGTCCCCTCCTCTTGGACGATGGTCTCAATTAGTTTACCTAGGACTTTCTGAGTCTACACCTGTTGTTCTGGAAGCGAGCAGCTCAAAAAAAATGAAAGTGCGTGTTTGATTAAAAATTAAATAATGAATTTCCTTTCTCAAGAAAGTTGGTGAAGAATGTGTTTTTCTGCGAACTACAGGTCATCAATATAATAAAACCAATTTGTCAGACGATATATTAATATTTTAAACATTACATGATACAGTGATTTTTAGCATTTTCGTTCAGTCTTTGAATTCTCCTGGTTTGGACAGTCAAGTGTGTGGTCATCCCGCTGCCCCCACACCACTGTCCTTCCCTCCTGCCAGGTGACCCTGTGGTGGACGGTGGTGGTGCCATGTACTTTTCTCTGTCACTTTATGTTTGTTAGTACCTCCTATAAAATATTGTTAGTTTTCGTGGCTTTAAAAAAACTATATGTAGGTGGAATTATGTTGTATAATTCCTTATACCTTATCTTGAAGATCGATTCAGCTGATTTTTGTCTCTGAAATGGAGAGTGGTGTCACTTTTCAACACTTAATATTTGATGCAGGTTAACCTTTAGCCCTTGCCAGAGAAAGACTCACTGAGGTTTAAAGGCTGTGAATTTAGTGTCCATGCCATGGGCTAGCTTGTGGTTATTAAAGAAGAAGGAAAGCTCATGATATGTGTTTAAATAGAAAATACAGATGAAACAGTAGCGTGTATGGTATTACCCCAAATCTATTAAAAACCATGTACACGCGTGAGAAAAAGAAGGAACGGAGTATATGCATTGTAATATTAATAGTGGATTTCTCTGGATGCTGAGGCTGTGGGTGATTTTTATTATACTTTGTGAATTTCTGAATATTACAGATTTTCTACAGAGAACATGTATTTTACAATTAGAAAAAAAAAAGTTATTTTTAAACAAGCTGTGAACCAGACAAAGAACAGGGAGCTAATAACTAGCTTAACTTCATTCTAGCATGAAAGCCTGGATTGTGGTCCCCAGATTATCACTTGGAAAATGTGTTGAAAGGACAGATTCCTGATCCCTGCCCTAAACCCCCCAAATGTACCTCTCAGGGGCTGGGAACTTAAGATCTGCGTGTTAGTAAGTCCCCAGTTCATTTTTATACACCTTAAAGTTTGAGAATGACTCCAGAGCCTTAATCTTTAGGTTCTTTTACTTGAGATTTGAGTGTTATATTTTGGGCAGAAACCTTTCCTTCTCTCGTACGTCAGCTGCTACTTTATCCCCTCGTCTCTTTGACTCTCCAATAGAGAACTCACTGCACACAGAACCGTACTGTGTTATCAGCCTGCGTTAAGATGAACTCTATTCTGGGACTATTGGGTAGTGAATTGTCTTCAGTAATTAATAGTCTGGCTAATGATTTCCCTAAAAAATTATATATGGATTAGTAGTTTTCAAAGACTTGGAACATAATAAACTATCCTTAAGTACACCTAAAATTACTTAATATATTTTTGAATATAGTTCAGGTGTCCCCAGAGTAGAGTGTGACATACAGATGAGCAGAGTGCTGTTCCTCCTTTGTGTGCTATGCGAGCTCTGATCCACCTCTTACCAGCTTTCAGAGTCCTCATCTTTGTAGATATGCGAACAGTTGGCGCTTAGCTTTGGCTGGTGGAGAGCTGGTGTTTGTAGTGGGGTTCTCAAGCTGCTTTTCTGCCTCCACGTGGTTTACATGTATATCACCTCTCCCCCTCCATGCAGTGATCACTGGCACTGAGGTGAGCTGTCCCTCAGCTGCAGCGCAGATAAGAGCACCACTGTCTTGAGAATCCCTGGGGTCCAGGATTGTACATCTAAATATGTGAACTTCTTTAGCTATATATGCATATTTTAAAATCTCAAGTGTGAATTTAATCATTTTAAGGAATTAGCCACTTAAAAACTTAAGTACATTTTCATATAAACATCTCTTCAATTATTTGTTTTTATATTGTGGTTTTTTTTCAGTCTTATTATGTAGACAGTACAGTTCGACTGTACATATATTATACTGCATGTAAATACATATATACAGTATACGGCACATTTTTTTTTAGTTTACATATATGTACTAATTATTTCTAAGAACAGATTAGATCTTTGGCTTTTAAAGTTGCATAGTTATCAAAGGAATAAAGCTAATTACTAAGTTTTCTTTTTTTAAAATATTATTTCTAATTCTCATCATATCACAGCCATTAAGAAAATGGGGAAAAGTATAAAAAATATAAATCATGTATAACATTTTAACAGAAATTGGGACAATATATACAGTTTGTGCCTTTTCCAATGACTTTATCATGAGCATTGACTTACTGAATTTTCAGCAAAAGCATTACTTTTAGAGGCTACATAGAAGTTCATGGATGTGTTCTGCCATCACCCCATCTGTTCTGGATGTTTAGTTTGTTACCTCCAGTTTCCACTGTTACAGGAATGTTGTGATGGAAGTCCTTGCACAGGCACCCTTGTTCACCTCGTTAGCTGTTTCCTTACGATGAATTTAAAAAAGTAGATTTAGAATGAACACAAAGGCTATGACTCCTCAATCTATAATGTTAAATTGTCACAAAGAAAGGATTTTCTGATTTATATTCTGATTTCTGAAGAAAGGAAATGTCACACTGAAATTTTTCTAAAGCTATGTATTTCACTGTTTACTATGAATAAGAAATTTTAAGATGCCAGGAATAATAATTCCTTCACTGATGTTTGTTTGTTTGTTTGTTTTTTTAAATAATGTTTGTAGCTAATTGCAGAGATGACATGACCTGTGTGAAAGAAGAGATCTTTGGACCAGTTATGTCCATTTTATCCTTTGACACTGAAGCTGAAGTTCTGGAAAGAGCCAACGACACCACTTTTGGACTGGCTGCTGGTGTCTTCACCAGGTAGGTGGGGAAGGACCCCGAGGCAGCTTTGAAGACATGGGGTGTAGTACCTGCTTAGGTATTTCATTGATCTTAACCCCTCACTGGAGTTTGTCTTCACCGCATTTTCATTCACATTTTCTGTTTGCTTCAGATAAAGCCAGAAGATGTCAAAGTAGCATTTTTCTGTTAGCCCTGAATGGCCAGAGAACCCTATTGTTGAGTTTAAATTAAGCTATAAACGTTTTTGATGAAAATTCTATCCTTTTTCTTTCATTCATTAAGTAAATATTTAAAGTTCTGATTTCTATGTAAGTGTCAGGTTAGGTGCCTATTAAAAACATACAGATCAAAGAATTTAGAAATGTGTTAACATATAAATACTGGGCACTATTCTTCAAAAACATAACTTGTAGTGACTTTATAACAGTCCCTAATTGGAATGCATTGTAACACATGTGGGCCTTTTTTTTTTCTATTGTTTTATATTTAGGGCGCTATTTCCAATTTTAACTGTTGTAAGTAATGTTGTGATTAACATCTCTGTACATAAACTTTAACCCCTATTAGAAAAGCAAAAAATGATTTGGGAGTAAAATTTCTTTGAAAATGATTGCCAATTGCTTGATTATATACAAACTCTTGATTAGTCTTTGGCAACAGCAGGCTGTGTTCTAAGGCTGCTTTACACACTTGGGATATTGCTGTTTCTTTGGTGATACACAAGGAAATTTTTTTCTCTGCAGTTTTGTATTCAGGATCCTGGGTAAGAAGACCCAGTCCCTTTTGAGGATCTGATATAAGAGCTTCTCTTTGAGGAGCTTTTTCTTTTAAAACAGATTTTATTTTTTAGAGCAGTTTTAGGTTCACTGCAGAACTGAGTGGAAACTACAGAGATTTCCGAAATACCCGTGCCCCCAGCACATGTGTGGCCTCCCCCATTGTCAGCATGCCCCGCCAGAGTGGAACTTGTGTTAGAATTGATGGACCTACGTGAACACATCACCACCACCCAAGGTCCGCGGTTTACATGAGGGTTCATTCCGTGGGTTTGGACAAGTGTGTAAGGGAGTGTATCCACCATGGTGGATCTCACAGAGCAGTTCCGCCGCCCTGAACGTCCTCTCCGAGGAGCTGTTCTTTTGATTTGAGGACTGAGTGGGTTAAGTCTCTTCCTCCTGCTCTGCTTAGCCACTTGACAGACAGAGAAAGGCCACAGTCACAAAGGAGGGTAACTCCTATTTTTAAAAACAGCTTTCTGGGATAATTCATGTACTATACAATTTGCCCATTTAAAGTGTACTGTTCAGTAGTTTTTAGCATATTTACAGAGTTGTAGGTACCACTGGCATTATAATCTAATTTTAGAACATTTTCATCATCCCAGGAACATTAGCAGTTACTCCGCATCCTCTTCTCCCCCCAAGTCCCTGGCAGCTACTAATCTACTCTCTGTCTTTATAGATTTGCCTATTTTGAATATTTTACCTAAGTGGAATCAGACGGTGTGTGAACTTTCATGACTGGCTCTCTTCTACTACTGAGTAATATTTTACTGTGTGGATATACCACATTTTGTTGGTTCATTCAAATAATGGTAGACGTTTGGGCTGTTTCTACTCTTTGGCTGTTGTGACTAATGCTCCTATGAGCATTTGCATGAGTTTTTCTGTGGCTGTGTGTACATTTCGTTTCTGCTGGGTATATACCCAGGAGTGGAATTGCTGGACCATATAGTAACCTTTTTATGTTTAACTTTTTGAGGAACTGCCGAACTGTCTTCCACAGTGGCAGCACCATTTTGCATTCCCACCAGCAATGTGTATAAGGGTTCCAGTTTCTCCACATCCTAGTCAGCACTCGCTGTTGTCTCTCCTTTTGGTTTTAACCATCCTAGTGGATGTGCGGCGGTGTCTCATAGTTTTGATTTGCGCTTCTCCGAGTTGTTTTTTCACTTTCTTGATAGTCTCATTTGCAGCACACGATTCTTAAAGTTTTGATAGTTATTCTATTTTTTTCTTTATCTGTTACCTTTGGTGTCATGTCTAAGAAGACTTTGTCTAAGCCAGGGTTGTGAAGATTTATTGCTGTTTGCTTTGAACAGTTTTACGATTTTCACTCTGACATTTTAGGTCAGTGAGCCATTTGAGTTAATTTTTGTGTCTGGTGGAAGAAAGGGACCTTCATTCTTTTGTGTGCGGGGCATCCAGTTGTTCCAGCACTATTTGCCGAAAACACTATTTTCCCCATTGAATTGTTTCGGCTCCCTTGTTGCTGCTGCTGCTTTTATGCACGCTTTTGAAGGAGACTTTCACACACAAATCCTTGTCTGTTTTGCCTGGGTGGCGCAAGATTTTAAAACACATTTTGAAGAAACAAGACTTCTGCAATATTTCGAGACCCTTTGAAGTAGGGGGCGTCTGACTTTTTCTGTTAAAGTAGTAACACGAAGTTCTGAGTAACCAGTGCATTTTTTTCTTTGTAGGGACATCCAGCGCGCCCACAGGGTGGTGGCCGAGCTTCAGGCTGGAATGTGCTTCATCAACAACTATAACGTCAGCCCCGTGGAGTTGCCCTTTGGTGGCTACAAGAAGTCAGGTGAGCAGCCGGGAATCGGGAAAGCAAACCCCTGTCTCTAGAGACACTGGCCGCGATTCAGTCCTCATGGCCCTGGTTCCTGAACGTGTCTGTGTATCAGAATCACTTGGAAAAGTATGTGAATTCCTGGTCCTGCCCAGACCCACTGGATCTGTCTCTAGGGATGGAACCCAAGGATCTTTATTTTCTTTTTCCAAAAGCTCTCCAGGAGGTTCTGAGAAAAGTTTATCTCTTCTGTAGGACTGCTTTTCCTCACAGTCTGTGATCGGTGTCAGCATAAAACCACCCCTAGACCTTCCATTGGGGTCTTTGTCATCATCCGCTGTGGAGATTTAGAGTCAGTTTAGGTGAAGTGTCTCTAAAGTAATATCTCAGTGTATATTAATTTGTTTTCTTTATTATGCCAAAGTATTTAAAAATCCCTTAGTCTACATTTAACAGTCAGTCATAGTCATTATTACTACACCACGTGGCATACAGGAATGTTGTCCCCAAGCCACCGCCCATTCATTTCATGTATTCAGTAGTCAATCAGACGTGTTACCATATCATGGCAAATTTATAAGTCCAGCCTGTTAGGGGGAGATTTACAGCATCAGGAACGTAGCCATTACTTTGAAGTTCTTTCTTTGGCATTGGTTGCCTATAAATATTCACTAATTTCCCATGGTCTTCTGAAAATTGGCTTGGACTTTGTAGGGGCACCTTCTTAGAGTCTGACCCCTAGTCTCCTGGCAGATACTCATGGCCATCACGGTGTTGGCAAACGTATAAACGTGGGTGAGTGATAATGAGATGGTGGGTGTTAACTTCAGCTTTATTTGGTCTGTTGTTCGATATTTTCCTGGCATTCCCTAACCATACATCACTAAGCATCCTTGTGCCTGTCAGGTACCTGGAGGAGCTGTACGTGCAGGCCCCAATGCAGAGCAGGAAGCCAGGCTCTGTTTTGATAATTCATAACCCTCAGTGCAGGGAAAAGTTTGGAATCTGCAGCATAGGCCTCAGTGAAATCTGAATCTTTGGATCAGTGCCCATGGACGTCAGTGCATGGGATGAGAGGGCCGGAAAGCTGGCCTCACGTGTCCAGCCAACTCTGTGTGGAGAGGATTTGGAGAGGAACAAAAGACAGAGTGAGACTACCAGGGCCTCGGTGTACATCACCTTTGAGTTGTGCCCCTAGAGATGTGCATTTTTGGGGACTAGGCCTTGCCCTTCGGAGGCAGCGCCCCCTTCAGTCTGGGGCAGGGGGCACACGGAAGGCTGTCCTTTTAGCACGTGACCCCATCCACTAGGGATTGGGCAGTGTCTGGACTTTGAATAACCTGAGGACCTAAGGGTGGGCAGGGGGTAAGTGGTGGGTGCTCTCACAGACTTAGTGTGAGAGAAGGTTAATCGGCCTACTGTGTACAGTTAAGTTTCAGGTTAGCACCGACTTTCAAAGGCAGCAGGTTCATAGGTGCAGAGAATGCTCTAATGCTGGATAAGAAAGTCTGAACATTTTTAGACCTTAACCCAGACTAGTAGATAGATAATGGAAGTTAAGATTAGACTGGTGAGAAATGAGACCTGGAAATTTCCCCATCCTTGTTCCCCAAGGCCAGTGGGTCACCTTTCCCGTGTCTAGCTCCGCAGCTAATGCCTGCAGTTGAGGCCTTGATCCCGGAACCTGGGGCTCTGTGCTCCCCCCAGCCCCGTGAGCACCCCTGCCTCTGACGGTGCCTGCGACGGTGCTGCGGCAAAGGCTTGTCTTGTCCTCACCCTTTCTCTTCCTTTCAGGATTCGGCAGAGAGAATGGCCGTGTGACAATTGAATATTATTCACAACTAAAGACGGTGTGCGTGGAGATGGGTGACGTGGAGTCTGCCTTTTGAAAACAGGAGGTGAAGCCAGTGAGCGTGGCCGGGCTCGGAGTAATGAGGACCGGCTCTGTTGACGCAGGCGGAGCAGCCGCCTGCTGTTTAGATCCAGGACGTTGGGTGTTCAGGATTAGAGCATGGTTCAGTGTCACTCTTCATTGTTCAGTTTCCTAAGTAAAAATGTGCATAAGTGTCTTCTAGATACTAATCAAGAAATCTGTGATTTTCCGCCAGTTTCTGTGAAATCTTTGAGAGCCACTACCACACTTCTGGGGAAGAGGGGGAGGGGCCAGGATTATTCGTCCATAGAGTCCACCGGCTGCCGGGTTCATTCTCCAGCTTGCTTTAAAGAGCCTGCTCCTTCAGGGGTTCCTGGTTGAGTCAGTTGAGGTGATTTCTGCTCCTTGACATTTTTTAAGCCATGCCCCCCTGTCATTCCATTGCGAAGACCGACAGTCAGAAGAGAGAGGGCTTGGCCAGCGGATGGGTCGTCTGGGTGTGAACACCGCCTTGCCAGAGCTAGCACTGTGCCTCCCCTCGGCGCTGCGGTGGTGGGGACCACCTTCAGTCCTTGAACTATAGCTTGTACTCATGACGGAAGAGTTACCTTTTAAATGTACAGCTTACCTGGATGCTACTGCAGTATACGGAAATTAAATAAATCACACTGTCCAGCCTTTCAGTTTTCACGTGTTGAAACTAACATCTCAGGGTTCTAGGAGGGCACAGAATAGGGCTAAAGTTGAGTGTTTAGGGCAGAGGGTTCGACCTTTGCAGTGAGTACACACGGGCACGCTTTAGTTGCTGTACTGCACTTTTGGTGGCCGTGCAGGCTCTGAGGCTCCGTATTTCCCAGCCCCTGGTGTAAGCAGTGTCTGTGTTTAAAGAGTCATCAGATCACCGACTTCTCAGACTGTGGCAGTGGTCCTCACCTTGCCCCTTCTCTTCCTCTCAGGGGAATAATTTACATTTAATAGCGGTATTAGGGTTCTCCAGAAAAACAGAACCAATAGAATAGAGTAGAAATGTACAAGAGGAGACTTTTGATAGGAATGGCTCACTGATCATGGAGGCTGAGAAAGCCCACGGTCTGCTTGCTGTCTGCAAGCTAGAGAGCCCAGAAGGCTGGGGATGTAACTCAGTCCACGTCCAGGCCTGAGCACCGGGAGTGCTGAAGACGGACGTCTCAGCTCAAGCAGAGAGCAAATTTGCCCTTCTTCTGCCCTTTTGTTCCGTTCGGGCCCTGACGAATTGGATGATGGCCACCCATGGTGGAGAGGGCCCTCTGCTTTACTCAGTTCACCGGTGCCAATGCTAATGACTTCCGGAAACACCCTCACAGACAAACCAGAAATAATGTTTTGCCAGCTATCTGGGCATCCCCCAGCCCAGTCAGGCTGGCATGTAGGATTAACCTGTTATCTTGTTACTGGACCTGCATCTAATTATGTATTGTGACAGGCAAATACTCTAAAAGCCAGAACTGTCATGCCACTGGGCCCGTGGGGAGTACTCCGTGTTTGTGGAAATGAATGGACTAAGAAGGGCTGGGTTAGAGCCTTGCTCCTCAGAGTGGCCCAGGGACCTGCAGCTTCTGCCTGTCTGATGTGCAGAATCCTAGTTCCCACCTCAGGCCTGTGAATCATAATCTGTATTTTAACAAGATCCCTGGTGATTCTAGTTTGCCAAACACTGCTTTTAGAGCAGTGATTTTCAACTTTGGCCACATGTTTGAAATGCCCAGAGAGAGCTTTCAGAATACTGAGATTCTAATTTAATGGGTTTGGGGTATGGCCTGCTCATCTGGGTTCTTGAAAGGCTTGAGGGGACAGACCAGGCTGAGAAGCGCTGCTTCACTGCTGTCCCCTTTGTGTACAGTGGCCATTAACCACGTGTGGCTATTCAGATACAGTTAAAACTAACTGAAAATTCGGCTTTTTGCTCTAGCCACATTTTGAATACTTTGCCACGCATGGGTTTTGGTTGCTGTTGTGAACAGTGGAGATGTAGAATATTTCTATTATGTCAGAAAGTTCTGCTGGACAGCGCCGCTCAAGAGAGGGAACTGGAGGAGCTCAGTTTCCGACTGAGTTAGAACTAGAGCATCACTGGAGGCAAGCGCTATAAGGATGAAACGGGAAGCGGGGCAGACACAAGAGAACTTGATGGATAAAGGTTCACCAGCAGGTGGCTCTCATGCTGCCTACAACACCTGGAGCTGGAACCAGAGCTGCCCCTTGGCCATGGGAACACTGAACGGCACTGCACGCCCTTCCGTTTGATCCCCAAGAACTTGATACAGTAAGGATGGGCAGAGATCAAGACGGAACAGAAGGACGTGGAGCTCACCTCTTCCCGCAAATATATCAAAAACACATCTACCTGTGCATGGTACAGTTATCACAAAATAACCCGCTGAATGCTGGCAGATCTCATACAACCAAAGCTGCACTAAAGATCACTTTGTAACCAGGTAGGATGAAACGGCAGGGGGAGGGGGGGTGGAATCAGGATGAGACCTGTGTGTGCCCCTGGGAAGGAGCTGTGAAAAAGGAAAGGTTCCCTCACCCTGGGAACCTCCTGCACTGGCTGGGATGTCAGCGGGGACAGATACGGAGCTTTCAAGGTTCAGCGGAGAACACAGCAGCCAGCTAGTGGCGGGCAGAACAGAGACCAGCACGGACGGTCCTGGCCACTTGGCTGCATTCCCCAGCCCGAGGCGCACATTGGTGCGAGCAGGGGCTGGGTGCTGAAACTCGGGCTTCAGCGGACAGACCCCAGGAGAGGGCTAGGGTTGGCTGCATGGAGACAGCCCAAAGGGACAGGAGTGCAGTTGGGCCGTGACCGCGGGTGTACACAGGGCAGAGTCCGGGTCACCCTTAGGGGCCTCGTTGTTAACTTGCACTCAGGGAGGGGCTGGCCCAAAGCAGCCTCATTCCCCGCATGCTCAAGGCGCAGGTCTCCCTCTCTGAGCTCGGGGAGTGCGCAGGCACTGGTGGCTTGCCCACGTGCAGGGGCAGGGCTGAAATCGATGTCCTGGTGTCTGTGTGACCTCTGGGGATTTACGTCCCTGCTCTGTAAGTGTGGCGTCTGCAGGACATCTGAGCGGATTCCTGGCATCCTGTGGCTGGGGCAGTCCAGCGTTAGCAGTGGTGTGCGCGTGTGGAGGTGGGCCTGGGGTCAGGGCTGATTCCCTAACTCCCCCATCGGGTCCAGTTGTGTGACTAGGGTGGATTCAGGTGCCGGACTTCAGTGAACCTGCACCGGAGGCTTTGTGAGAGCACAGTGCCTGAGGGGACCTCCAGGCAGGCTGCCTGCATCCCCGTGGCTGAGGCGGGACCGAGGGCAGTGCCAATGACAGTGTACTCTGTGAGTGTGCACAGTGGGTGACGGGACACTGCACAGGGCAGTTCCTGGTACACATCTAAAGAGGAATACTCAGCGGCTTCTCTCCCAGCGGGAGTGCGCCAGTCCTGCCTGCCTCATACAGCAGCTCAGAATTGTATCTAGGGCCTTCTACTTCAGCAACTAGGGAGCAGACCCTGTCCCCGACAGGGCTGTAACGGCCACCGAGTGAAGAGGAGGTTCTGCTCAACATCCAGGGCAGGCTCTGGTCACCAAAACACCAATGACCACCCCCATCAAGGGGATAACAGCCAGCACATGGAGAAAAAACGTGACAGCCATCCACACTAAAAATAGCCCTCTCTACGAAATACTAGACTGATGCAGGCTACACAGGAACACTCCCACACAAAAAACAGCCCTTTAAGACCACAGTACATAACTATTTCTCCTAAATTCATACAGTCAGAGCAATACAAGTAAAACGAAGGATACGAACCCCTCCCAATGAAAAGAATAAGAAAATTCCCTGTAAGAACAAACAATGAAACAGACCCAGAGTTCAAAAAGGAGATAATAAAAATACTGATGGAATTAAGAAAAGCCGTCAAAAGAAATGCAGATCACTGTAACAAGGAACTAGAAACTATGAAGACAGTCAAAATCAGACAATTCATTTGCATGAAAACTGAGCTAAAGGCAGTAAATAGCAAACTGAATCACACAGAAGAAGGAATAAGTGACCTGGAGGATAGAATAAAGGAAATCACCCAATCAGAAGGTGAGACAGAAAAAGCAATATAAGGGACCTATGGGGTAATACAAAGCTTGCCAGTCTATGCACTAGAGGGGTCCCAGAAGAAGAAAGAGAAAAGGAGATCGAAAACTTATTTGAAGAAGTTACAGCTGAAATTTTGCCAAACCTAAGGAAGGAAACATATCCAAGTACAGAAGGTCCCAAACATGATGAACCCAAACAGACCTACACCAAGACATAATTAAGATGGCCAAGTTGAAGATTCTAAAGGCAGCAAGGGAAAAACAGTGTTAGTTAGAAGGCAACCCCCGTAAGGCTATCAGCTCATTTCTCTACAGAAACGTTGCAGGCCGGAAGGGAATGGCAAAATATATTCAAAGTCCCGAAAGGGGAAAACCTGCAACCTAGGCTGCCCTACCCAGCAAGATGATCTAGAATAGGAGTGTGGGGCTGCACCCCACAGACCTGCAAGCCCTGTGCTTGCCCATCTGCAAGACTGAAGGAAGAGTCCGGAGTCAGTGATACAGATGTCAGTGGTTTAATGGATGGGGATCTTCGGTGTCTGAAGCAAGGTCCTGGAGCAACACCTCACTGTGTGTGGCAGTGGGTGGGCAGGACATGGCGGCAGTCTACTCCTGGGGGGAAGGGGAGGGGGAGGTTACCAGTTATAGGGGGAATTGAGGTCAGGCTGGCTCATGAGTTACCAGGCAGACTAGCAAAGGGGCAAGTCCCTCACCACTCCTTTGATAAGCCATCATAGTGGAGAGGCTCTGATCTAAGGATCAGAACAGTCATTGGCTGGGGTGGGGCCAAGTACGTAGGAAGAAGTTCAGTCATGTGAGTAGGGTGTAGATGAAGCAGGGGATGTACAAAGAGCAAGAGAATCGCCATCTTGAGTGGCCTGACCATACGCTTCACCCCTGCACACCCTGCATGACCCTCACAATCTTGGCCCACCCCTCTTCTGCCATATCCCTGGACACACGTATGTAGAGGTGCACTGCAGCCAGATTCCAAACATACAGTACAGACAGCCGCAGCCAGAGTATCAAGAATAAGATAACCCAGGATGCTAAGAACAGTCCTTTGCCAGGACGTGGGCAAATTTTGCAGCCAAGCGCTTACCGGGTCAGTGGAGAGGGAGTCACTTGCAGCAGCGCCCTGTCCAGTTACAAGGAGGGTAAGGACACCCCTGGTTTTCACAAACCCAGAGTCACCCCCATGGGGAGGGGAAGACCCTGGCTCTAGAAGAAACGTTATGGCAGCCTAGCCAGGAGTTAGCAGTCAGCCCATGTTGAGTGCCATTAGTGGCAGACTCATGAAGGACCCAGTGGTTAATCCCACTCTTTGGACTTGTGTGTCCTGAAGCCCGCCCACTCCTCTTACAGCGCAGCCTGGGGTCTCAAAACGGGCAGTCACCCTGGCAAAGCATACGAGGTGTTGTAATGTTCGCTGACAGAAGTCCTTTCTGACGTATTGGCATGTGGGACAGGAAGATGGTGAGAGTCTTCCCACCTCATTGTCAGCTGTCCCCCCATGGTCGCATTAGCCAGGGGGAGTTTCCACGGAAGCCCAGAGGAAGGCACCGGCACAGGCGTCTCGCTGCAGACCCAGCAATTAGACTCCTTTTGCAATGAGGCCATTGTTGCTCAGTCCTTGAATGGACTTCCTCTGCTCAGGCTGGGGACAAATATAAGGCAGCCAACAGGCACGACACGGGAGATCACGACCTTCAAGCAAAACACAAGCAGGAACCAGTCTGAGATAATAGCCTACCCGCCTGTGGTTTTTGTCCTGGTCTATAATAGAGTTCGGAAAACTCAAGTTTTCAGTAATACAGGAACATGTCCAAAAGCACCTCCAGCGGCCACCTAGTTTTACCTTTGATGTCTGAGTGACAGTTACATTTTGACTTTCAAATTCAGTCCCCTCAGTGGCCAAAGCAGACGTGCCCTGCAGGTTTCACAGGCCAGGAAACAGGCCCCTCTGGTCATTAAGTTAGACCACGTATAAGCCAGCACAACTTCCTCCTGTACTTCCACGTGTGATGAATTTTCCCGTCGTTTCCCCTTTTGATTACAAATCTTTTGAGAGACCGAAGTACATGTCCCTTAAAGCCGAGATGAATGCTGCCTGCTCTGCATCCAGACCGTGTCTCTCGGTGCTAGGCCTCCTCCTTTATATTTGCCTAGTTGTCCACGTTGGGGGAAAACTGATCAGAGACTGTGAACAAGCTCAGAGGTATGGTGGTGGGGAAACATTTCAGAAGCTACATATTTTATTAATTAAGCCAAGTTGTTACACAAACATTGTACGTGTGCTTTTAGTGGCAGACTTAAAGCAAGCCATGTTACAGATCATGAGTAGTTACACTGTGACAACCTCACTAGAGAATTTTCTTTTCCTCCTAAACATCCGGGAAGAAGGGTGGCTAACACCATAACTTTCATGAATCTAGACCTCAATCAACAGTACTAGAATTTAATAGCCACTAAAACATAATATTTTTCTCTCTAAAATGAGCCTTATCTCCACCAAACACAGCCAAATCAAGACGAATTTGTTTGCAGAATAAGTCTGGTCAATTGACAACATAGGCTTTGGTGGAACTCCTCAGGTGTCTAAGACTGAATTCCCAAAAGGCCTCTCAGGGTCAGGAAGCCTATTCCAAAGGCCCGTCATCGGATTCTGCCTTGGTGGGCTCCTCTCTTCCAGAGGTCCCCAAAGTATCAAGATTCCTGCACACGCCAGGAGCAGTCTTTCCCATTCACCTGATAAGACTTCTCAGAACCCAAGAGTCTCCAATTTCTAGAGAAGAAATACAAAATCAGCTGGAAAGCAAAGTTTAAAATGGCAATAAATACATACCTGTCAAGAATTACCTTAAATGTCAATGGTCTAAATGCTCTGAACAAAAGACTCAGAGGGGCAGATTGGATAATAAAACAAGAGTCTATAATACACGCTGCCTACAAGAGACCCACTTCAGGGCAAAGGACACACATAGATTGAAAGTGAGGGGATGGAAAATGGAAAAAGACATTTCATCCAAATGCAAATGACAAGAAAGTGGGGACAGCAATACTTGTATCAGACAAAATAGACTTTATAACAAAGGGCATGAAGAAAGACAAGGACACTATATAATGATAAAAGGATCAATACAGGAAGAGGATATTACATTTGTTAATAAGTGCACCCAGCATAGGAGCACCTAAATACATAAACCAAATACCAACAGACATAAAGGGAGAAATTGATGGGAATACAGTGATAGGAGACTTTAACACCCCACTGGCATCAGTGGACATCACTGGACAGCTCTTCAGACAGAAAACCAGTAAGGCAACAGAGATCCTAAATGACACAATAGGACAGTTGGACTAAATTGAGATTTTTCAGGACATTGTATCTGAAACATTCTCTAGAATAGACCACATACTAGGACACCAAAACAAGCCTCAACAAATTAAAGAGGATAGAAATTATTTCAAGCATCTTTCTGACCACAACAGCGTGGAACCAGAAATCAACCACAGAAAGAGAAATGAGGAAAAAATGACTGCATGTAGACTAAACAACTTGCTACTGAAAAAACCAGCTCACACATTAAGTAAGCATCCTCTGGCAGGGAGACAAGGGGTGCTTAATACCTACGGCCCCTCTCTCTTCTAGCAGGACAGGCTACTTATATTTCAGATAAAGAGTCAAAAAGAAATAAGTTGACAGAGTCAGGGTTAGGTATGAGGCTGACGCCAAGTTAAGTTTTTATTATATTTAGAAAAAAAAAGTAACTGGAAATTAAAGTAAGTCACTCAAAACGAATGAGATATTTTAAATACCCTATAATTCTTTAATGGCAGCACTTGGACCCGCTGTTCAGGCCAGTTTTAATCCAACCAAGATGCTGGAAGGCAGAGCACACAGTTGTGCCCATCAGGCCAATGAGGGCAATGGAGCCCAGGGCTCCCCGGTTCCGCTTGCTGGGTTCTGCAAAAGAAGAAAGAGCAGAAGTTACCGGGGATGCTCCCGAATGACAACGCTGTCAACACCCACCAGCCATCCCTATCAAGACCTCTGGGGTTATCTGGTCTTCAGAGGTCCACCAGCTCTTCAGCCTAAAGCTGTCAGTATGGCAGACACTGCCTGTGCAAAGTAACACGTCACAGCAGTATAGGACCTTAAAACAAATGATCAGATAATAATTAGAGACACGTTGCTCTGGGACCTTTTGGCATGGTTCCCTCTTCCAAGAGGTCAGTACAGCCGGAAGAGTCAAAGAGTCTTTCCCCACCTTCTCCCTCGGGCACACCGTTCACAGCAGTGATGAGGAGCGGGGCTCTGGAGTCTGCCCGCCTGGCTCTGAATCCTGGCTTTCTAGTTTGCACCCAGTATCTCTATGACATAGCGCCTTAATCTTTCTAAGTCTCGCCGTTTCCTCATCCGTAAACGAGGATAATATTATCTAGGTCATAGAACTGTAAGGCTCAGTAGCATGTGCAAAGTTGTTAGAACAGCAACTGACATGTTGAAAATGCTCAAGAAAAATTAAGTACCATTCCTATTCAAAGGTTAGGAAAACAAAAGAAGGTAACAGTTTTTTTACCTAAATATCAAGTTACTTCCCTTTTTCTTAAAGCCCTGCTAGACAGAAAAAAATAGCATAAGATGTCAAATTTGCTTCCTTGGCAGATGTCAGTGTGTACTTACCTCCTGTGTAATAGCCATAAGCATAAAGAACTCGTCCGACAATCCAGGCCAAGCCCAAGCCAGAAACTATACGCTAAAGAAAGAGGGCTACGTTAGTATTTGTATTCAAGAACAGGCAGATTTTTATTAACATCTAAGATTGATCACACAGTGTTTTAATAAAAAGTTAACAATTTCACGGACATGGTAAAATACTCTCTACCAAAGTTGATTTACAGGAAAATCAAGGCTCTCGGGTCCTTCTATGAACTGCTCAGGGACCTGGGAGGTGAGTGCTGGGCGTCTCTGAGGTAGAAGGGATGCGAGAAACCTCCCAGCTTGCCCTGGGGCACTCGGTGTGCTGGCGCACAGGGGAAGGAGAGGCAGGCCTGGGGGTCGCAGGGGAACCCAGGAGAGGAAACTGACTGGAAGTCAGGACGAGGGGAGAAGCCACGTGAATAGGACGTGGGCTGTGCGCTCTGGCTGCTGTGGGCGGCACTGTTTCTGTGAGGTCCCCCCCGCCCCGGGAGGGCTCAGAGGCTATGCTGAGCCCACGCAGAAGTGTGGGGCTCCCCTAGAAGTGGGGGAGGGTGTGTCATGTTGTGAACCCCAGAATATGTAGTCTTGGACGGGGAGGGGTCCCCATTCCCAACACCCTTGAGAAAAGAGAGTAAAGACTTAGGCAAGATGGAAAATCCTTCCACTGGGGTGACCCACTTGGGCAAAAGGAGGCAGAGGAGAATGGGAACGAGAGGGGGGTGGTGTGAGGATGTGGGTCACGGCGAGTCACTGTCCCCGAGTGCCCTTCCAATTCAGCAGTGGCATCAGTGGGGGTGAGGATACTACTTTAGGAGTTTTACTCGTTTGTTTAGATGATTTTAGGGAAAGTTCAGTAGGAGCATGAAAGAACTAAAAATAAAACCCCCAGGCCCATAAGTCACTATCTAGAAGGTCTGTAGGCTCTGCCAGGTCACTCTTCACTACAATGTCGCATAATTGCCATCAACGCAGGAACAGTATTAGAGGAATCTTAGATTATTTTAAAGAATGAAGGACAAGGAACAGGATCTAGGGAAGCGGAACAGGAATGGGGCTGGGGGTGGATATCAGCAAGTCTGACTCCATATGACATCCGTTCCTTGGGCTCTAACCCTGGGCTGTTTTCTGTGCTGAGTCAGGCTGCTTCTGCTCCTTCTGTAAAACAATGTTGCCTAGAGCCCGAGACATCTGTAAAACAATGTTGCCTAGAGCCCGAGACATACAGGACAGCCCGTTCTCAAGGCTCTGACCCTTTAGGGCATAACTTTTTCCCATTCATG